TAAAACACATTACACAAACAAAAAACATCATAGCAATAAATATATATATATATATATATATATATATATATATATTATATATATATATATATACATATATATATATATATATATAATTATATATATATAATTATATATACATATATATTTATCTAAGATCTGGCACTTTCGCCAGATGGTTCAGAGCACCTTATCACATTTCAATGCATATGATCCTCATCTACAGTTCACTTGTGAGCTGGAGAGTCATAATAGCATTCATTTTCTAGAAATGCTTATCATGCGAGGTTGTGATCTTAGGTTAAGTACTTGGTATAGAAAAGGAATGACGAGTAACCGTTTTCTTAATTACCACTCATGCCATGCGATGAGATACAAATACAACCTCATCTCAGTAGGCACACCAGAAAACGACTCCCATAAACTTTCCTTCTTTACCTATACGTTACTACTCTCTCCCTTATTTCTCTCATTTGACTAAGAAGCTCGCAAAACTTCTAACATTAGCACCAGTAAAAATTGGAGTTAAAAATGTCAGATCAGTTGGTAAACTATTTTCTAAAACCAAAACTCCTCTAAACCCGTTGGAAAAGATCAATGTGTACAACATCCCCTGTATGGATTGTAACCTATGTTACATTGGCCAGACTCGTAGACCCTTAAAGGTCGACTAACTTCTCACAAGAGTAATATTAGATGCCAAAAACATTCCAGTGCCTTATCACAACACATTCTTACGTCTGACCATCGACCAGATTATGAATAGTGCAAAATTCTTTGTACAGAAAGCAACCATTTCAAGAGAAGCTTCCTAGAAATGTGCCACATTTTCCTCAATCCTTCCACCATCAATAAACGTACTGACATCGACAACCTCAGTTTATTATACCATTCTCTTCGTTCCAACATCAAATGAGGAATTTTTCGACGTTCTTTTGCCTCCAGACTGTTTCATCTCCGTTCTCTTTATCATTTATGGTGTACCGTACCTATGTACCAGGTACCTACTAACCTTATTTTTATTCCCCATTGGTACTTCCTTGTATATCCAACCTTTATACATTTATACTGATTCATTTCAAATTTACATTAAACCTTTACTTATTTTACAATCCATATTCTCCTTCCTTGACTAAATCGCTACAATAAATTGCATATTTCAACCTTACTTCACTATATATTGGTTTTGTAGACATTTCCACTCAAAAATTTTATTTCCCTCAGCATCCTCTGCGTTGTTGGTTTGCGCTCTTGTGTATTGCGTCTGCTCGTCTCACACTACAATAAGTTGTCTCAACACACAACCATGAAAAATACACAACTACTTCAACGAAAATGCCAGTAACTTGACATTCGTTTTCCGGTCAGAATTCTTTAATTTGAGATGCTCCCTAAAGTCAAGTATAAAATATTTTTTAAATGTTAACTTTGTTATAACAACAACTCTGTGTCGGTGTGTTTTGTCAATTTTTTGTTTTTATCTCTACACTTTACTGTTAAAAGTTATTTTACGTTCAATGTGACGGGTTTTTATAGTGCTTCGCAGTAGTTTTTATTCATTTCTTTTACTTTTAATGTAAACTTTTTCTCATTGTTATACATGAATGCTACTACATATGAACATTTAAGCTACTATTTCAACTTTAATATTTTGACAACGGTTACCAAGAGAATGGTGTGTTTGTTTTACACCTTATCATTCTTCACTCACCATTCGTAAGTTCTTTTTCCATGTTTTATATTCTTGCCTACCACCATTGTATTCATTTAGATTGAACTGATGAAGCTTGTAAATATAATAAGCGAAACGTCTTCAAATATAGGAATGGAACTGTGATTTTCTTTTATTATTTCTTCTTTGACCGATATCCTCGTGACCAAAAGATTTAGTTCAAACTCTACACTGTTGGTCTCCACGAAAACAAACGAATAATTTTTTTTATTAACTCCATTGAGTACAACAATCTGCCCATTGGGCATTAAGCATTTGGTTTGTTAAAAAATGCAGACATGTGTCTGAAAGACCTGACCACAGTTGGAAAAGAACTAATACACGAAAACAAGATAAAATATGAGGTGAAGTTATAAACAGAACAAGTAATAGAAGATAATGAAAGGAACCAGTACACAGCTTATTCAGAGAATTAATAAGAAAGATGTGCTGACCTGACCAGTCAACAGTCTAATACTTTTTGCCAAGAAATGCCTAAGCGAACAATACTCCACAAGGAGGGATGGAACTAGAGCGAGATAATCAAAGTAATTATTCACCTCAAAATAAGTAAACCGACCTTATTTCAGAAAAATGTGAAAACCTCAAATATTGTACCGATAGAACAGCGATGGTTTTGGTAATTTTAACTTTTTGATTAACAGCTATCTAAACTAATATTAAGATATACATTAAAATGTACAGATTTGGAAAAAAAATTACGGAACATAGGATTTTTAATACAATAACTCAGATCCTTTGATGTGCAATTAACCAGTGTAAATTTCAAGACAACGTCGCGATGTTTTATAATTAATTCATTTGTTCGACTGGAGTCTGAATTCATGCCGCGATGCTGCCAGTGTAAGTGTAAAAACGGAACACGCCTAGATTGCATGTCAATTCAGCGAAAAAGTACTTATTTATAAATGTAGATATGGAATTAAAAATATTTTATTACTAAAAAAATGGTGATGTTTTGTCTCCAAAACGGCTTGAAAAAAAAAGTAGATTTCTTAAATTAAAAACAAAAAGGAATTTTAAAAATAAAATAATATTATTACACTCTTTTGAATTTCAAATTATAAACAATATTTGAAATAATAAATGTATTTAAGTATAAATTTTATAACTCAAATAATACCTAATAAACACAAACAAAATTTATGTTAATAAAATATTATTTATTATCTACACAAAACCGGACTTTCAGGAAAAATCGGCAGACGAAGCAACACTGTCGGCGTGCCACATACGCTACTACAAACCGCTGAGGAGAGGTAATCCAGTGGAACAAATAAATTAGTTATAAAACATCGCGACGTTAAATAGAAATTTACACTGATTAATTGCAAATCAGGGAATCTTAGTAATTGTATTAAAAATCCTATGTTCCGGAAATAAAATTCCAAATGTGTATACATTTTTGGTACGTTTGAGTAAATCTGTTATAAGATATAATTCTTCTTCTTAACGTGCCCTATCAAGTCCCCTTGACGTTGGCGATTAACATGGCGAAACTGTCTCTGTCTCGAACTATTCTAAAGAGTTGCTCAGCTTTCTTTATTCCTGTCCACTCTCTGATATTCTTCAACCAAGAGGCCTGCTTTCTACCAATTCCCTTGCGTCCTTCGATTTTACCCATCATAATAAGTTGAAGAATATTATATCGGTCTCCCCTTACTACGTGTCCAAAATAAGCCATCTTTCTACATTTGATGTTATCAAGCAGCTCACGAGTAGCATTTGCCAAGGACTGCCACATTTGTCAGCATAGCCGTCCATGGAATTTTTAGTATACGTCTGTGCAGCCACATTTCAAAGGCCTCCAGACGATTAATGGTGGATATTTTTAATGTCCATGCTTCGACGCCGTATAAGAGGACTGACCAAATGTAGCATTTAACCATACGCTTTCGAAGTTGAAGTTTCAAGTTATCATTACAGAAGAATGAACCTCATTTTTAAAAATGTCGTGCGGGCTATCTCGATTCTACTTTTATCACTTGATCTAGATCCAGTTGTTCAGTAATATGGCAACCAAGATATTTAAAACTGGACACTCTTTGAATTATATGACCATCAACATATAATCGTGCATCTTGATGTGCTAAACGGCTAAACATCATGTGTTTTGTTTTTGAACAGTTTATGTTTAGGCCAAACTCTCTTCCCACTGTATCAATGGCATTTAAAAGGCATTGTAATCCATTCATGTCATCACTTAAAATAACTGTATCGTCTGCATATCTGATTGTATTTATCAGAATTCCATTAACTTTCACGCCCCATTCCAAATTATGCAGCGCTTCTTTAAATATTCTATCTGAATATAAATTAAATAACAGTGGGGATAGTATACAACCCTGTCTGACACCTCTTTGTATTTTACATATTTCTGTTGATTTTCCGTTTATGCAAGCTGTCGCTGTTTGACGCCAGTATAACTTTTCTATGAATCGTATGTCTTGACTATCAACTCCTTTATCTTTTAATATTGTAATTAATTTGTGATGCTGTACTCGATCAAAGGCCTTTTCATAGTCAATAAATACAGCAAAGACGTCTTTCCTTTGATCTCGACATTTCTGCAGTAATACATTTAGTGCACAGAGGGCGTCCCGAGTTCCCAGTCCATTTCTGAAACCAAATTGTGTTTCATCCTAATCTTGTTCACATTTATCTCTGATTCTACTGTGGATGATGCGTAGAAATATTTTCAAAGTGTGGCTCATAAGGCTTATCATTCTATAATCGCTACAGTTTTTCGGACGTTCTTTTTTTGGTAGTGTTATGAATTCGGACTTTAAAAAATCTTCAGGGATATCACCAGTCGAATAAACATCATTGAAAAGTTTGACCAGTATTCCAATGTTCTCCTCATTTATAAGCTTTAACATCTCTGTCGGTATGTTATCAGGGCCAACGGCTTTCTTGTTCTTTGCTAACTTTATAGCATGCAGTATTTCTGATTTTAGTATTTCTGGTCTTTCACCTTCAACTAAAGTCTTCGGTTCTTCGGGTCTATCATCATTATACAGTTCACTTATATAATTACACCAGGTTGTTCGAATTTCATGTTCGTCTATTATCATTTTTCCCGACGAATCGGTTATAGTATGTGGAGTTTTCTTATGATAAAGACCAGCTACTTTTCTAACTTTTTTAAACATATTAAACGTATCATGTTTTGTATTCAACTTTTCTAATTCCTTGCATTTATAAGATATAAGATATAATAGTATACATAAATTATTTCAATATTTAATTAATATACTTTATTTTTAAGGTGGCACGAAGTCGCTATTTATGATACAACAGCTCTAGTAGATTATATTTTGAATGTCACCAACGCCTCTCAAGCATTTTATATCGGGCATTCACAAGGCACCACTTCTTATTTTGCATTTGTTGCAGAGAAACCAGAGTACAATAAAAAAATTAAATTAGCTGTTCATCTTGCGCCAAGTGTAATATATAGAAAATTTAGGAGTCCTGCCGTTTTTTTGGGAAAGCATTCAAGTTTAATTGAGGTTTGTATCTAGTGTAATGAAATCTTTTAATAAAATAAAATAGAGTTTAACGTTTAAAGTTTAACTTAATAATAAGTAACGTTATAAATAACGGTAACGGGTCAACGGAGGACATGACACAGGTCAGCAACTGTGGCATTAGTGGCTCGTGGCTATAGATACGGTACCACAAAGTGGCAGGCGAAAATCAAATACTGATTTAACCGGCTGTGATACTGCGAACATTCACCAACCCGTCCGACAAGCGTGGTGTTTTAATGCCATTAAACCTTTCAAAACACAACATGTTGAACAAAATGGGACGATAGCTGGAGCTCACACTAGGGATGGGAAAAACCTACCGGTTTTTAACCGAAAACCGGTTTTTTTACTTCGCAAAAACCGGTTTTTATCGGTTGTTTTTTTGTCCCGGTTATAACCGGTTTTTTATTTTTAAAGTAAAAACCGGTTATTAGGTGATTAGGTTAGGTAATATTTTGGATCCCAGTTATAATTATTATTCTTAAGTAATTATTTCAAACAAAACCATAATTCAAATTTTATTTTATTTTATAAATACAGAAGCAAACTGAAAGTGCAAACTCACATCAGCCAGAAACAATTAAGTTTTATTATAATATTTCGTTGAAAAGGTATTTAAAATCATAATATTTACATAAGAAACATCATATATTTTTCACACTTGACTCTTGACATTGAAAGTGGGTGAATGGCTTTTGCTGATTACCAAAAATAATGTTCTGACTATGAATATCGAATTACTGATTACGAATACGAATCTCCAAGGATTTCTCTACGTTTTTAAAACGACAGGAAGTAATAAATGAGTTAAAATGTACGTATTATACAAATATACAAACGTGTTAAAAGTAATACATGATAAATTTTTGTTGATGGTAGTAAAAATAAAAGATGAATTGCATTATCCAATTTATTTTTAAGTAAAATACTTGTGGTGATATTATTTTTTAAATCCTATTTGAAAGTGTCTGGGAAATTTTTTATAAATTGCAATGGTTGAGGAATTTTTTGAGTTTGGGAGGAGAGGAAAATTGGTGGATATTTTAAAGGATTACATTTTTAAATGGTAAATTAAATTTGCATCAATAATTGAATACGATAATTGCATATTATATTCTACTCTCATAATATATTCAATGACAATAGAACCTGAATTATTTCAGCGCTCTCTGCTGAGCAGTAGTATAATATTATGTTTAATAATAATCAATAAATATATAATAATAATAGAATAATAAATAAATATAATAATTAATAGAATAAAATGCTTTTACTAAAAATGTGTCTTATTTATATTGATATTGATGTTCTTTCGATAGTATTGATTTTGATAATATTGATATCGAGTAGAATGAAGTATCGCAAACTAAAGTGTATTGTAAAAGTAATTTTGTAATCTATTTGATTAAAAAAACCGAAAAACCGGTTTTTAGAAAAACCGGTTTTTTTGGGCGGTTATAACCGCCAGGTTAAACCGTAAGCAAAAAAATCCTGTATAACCGAAAACCGGTGTTTTGTCAGAAACCGCCATCCCTAGCTCACACCATACATTTCTGCATACAGATTGAACGAAATAAATTCGGAACATAGGAATATAATGTATTTCGGCTCAATTCTGCTGTAGCTGGTTGGCCAACAAAAGATTGTCAAATAATTATATTATAAAAAATCCCATACTTCAGTGGGCTGCTGGATTCTGAACTCATAAAAATTGAAAGCTACACATAAATCTACGATTATGCTGTCAAACCAGTTATAGTCCAGGAAATGTAGCATTTCACCTCGCAATTTTTTTCGTGTGCGGCGCGGATTGACTTGAAATTTAAAAGAAGGTAGGTAATAGCCTAAGTATCAAAATCTATATCGAACCAAAGTGCGCCAAAGCCTAGGGGGTGGTTGCCACCCCATCTCCGGGGTGAATTTTTTTTTTACGCTTTAACTACAGGTTTCGATTAGAAAAGTGATTCTAAACAAAAAATGTGCTATACGTTTTTTTTATAAAATGATATTTTTCAAGTTATTCGCGATTGAAAGTAACAACTTTTAGACGAAAAAATCCACGTTTTTAATCGATTTTTCGCGAATAACTCGAAAATGATGCATTTTATCAAAAAAATTGTAGAGAACAAATTTGTAGCTTTTAAAAAGACAAATACAATTACAAATACAATATCAATGTTCAGCGGTTTTCTTCAAATGCCAAATTTGAAAGATTCAAAGTCAAATATCGGGAAAATGATGCATTTTTGGAAGAAAACTCACAAAACCTTTTTTAAAGAGCATAAATAGACCTATCATAAAAAAAATAAGGTCAATACCTCATTTTTTACGAAAAAATCGAGGAAAACAACACCCTAAACCACCCCCATAATTAAAATCGATCTTCACCCTTCTGCAATTCCCTTTGTAGATGTATTGTTAATACTTCCAAGAAGTTTGACCCATTTAAAATGCTTAGTTTTAGAAAAAGTACAGCTTAAAGCGAGAAACGATTTACAATTTCATATTTTTTTACCCTTCTTTTTTTAAATATGCCAGAAAATACTGAATATATGAAAAAAATAAAAATTACCAAATTGTAGCTTTTTTAATGACTAAAATTATCCTTTATTTAGATTTGTTGTACAATGAATATTTGGCGAGATATAGCCGTTTAAAGCATCGATTTACGATCAAGCACCATCTTTTTCGGGCCCTTTAAACTCACCCCATTTAAAAACCAAGGGTTCGAAAAAGATTTAATTCACAGATCCTTGTAGCTATTAAAAACCTCTACAAATCGTTTTTGAAAAAACATCTATCGTTAAAAATTAAAGGAAATACTTTAAAAAACCAGTTAATTTTTTTCCGGAAAATTCCATTAGTATAGTATAGTACATTTCGGAGCATAATAATCTACAAAACCGGTATATTAGCTAGTGGGGCGTTATACATTCGAAATTTTAAGCGTTCTTATTTTGAAATCCCATACAACAGAATAAAACATCTGCTCATATGTCTATGGCTTGGCAATGAAAATATCAGAGCAACAGATTGGGGATGGTTTTCCAAAGATGGTTTGTTATTACCCGTACGCATGAACAAACAACCTGCACCCGATAAATTTTTGAAAATTATTTTTTGCCAATGCAAAAAAGGATGCGGCGTTTCATATGGGTGCAGAAAAGTTGGTTTATACTGTAACTCTACTTGTTCTGGGTGCTCAGGTGAAGGGTGCAATAACAGTCCACCAATAATTAAGGAAGATGATGATGACATAGATCACGATGAAGATGTAATTGATGACGAATAAAATTAATATTATAATTGTTTTACCTATAAATGTAAATATTTTCAACTATTTATGTAAATGTATAAGAATATATGGTGCCTTTTTATGTTGATAATTTTTTTTGTATTTAATTCTACTTTTTTCAATTTATATCTTATAAATTAGTTTATAAAAAACTTCAATGTTGTAAAGGGTGATTTTCAAAAGTTGAAAAGTTGCAAAATTTTGGCAAAAAATTGTTTTCACCTATAGCACTCATAACAATTGATTTTTAAGGGTTGAAAATGTATGAATTTGTATTTTAAAGTATAAAAAACTCACTATTTAACTAATCCAAACCAAATTTCACTCATCTTAGGATTTGTAATATTATTTTACAATTTTTGAAAATTAGGGGTAGTTTTCACCCCTAAGAACAATCAGGGTTCATCGGCATGACATAAACTATAAAGCAGAGGGTGAGTTGAGCTTAATTCCATATTTTTATGCAAGTCGTTTCAAGGTGAAATCATTTTCTTCGCATTACTAATTTTTTTATATTAATCTCTAATGAGGGTCGCTTTTTAAGGGTTGGAATATGATGGAACTTTATTGAAAAGCACGAAACTATCATTATTTAATTAATTCAAACCAAATTTTACCTATATTCAGGTTTAATATGGTATTTTTATAATTTTTGACAATTAGGGATAGTTTTCACCCCTAAGAACAATCAGGGTTCGTCGACATGACATAAACTATAAAGCAGCGGGTGAATTGAGCTTAAATCCAAATTTTTATCCAAATGATACAAGGCGAAATCATTTTTTTAGAATTAGTAATTTTTTACATTAATCTCTAACAAGGGTTGCTTTTTAAGGGTTGAAATATGATGGAACTCTATTCAAAAGTATAAAATAATCATTATTTAATTAATTCAAACCAAATCTTACCCATATTCAGGTTTAATATGTTATTTTATAATTTTTGACAATTAGGGGTAGTTTTCCACCCCTAAAACCCTTCAGCGCACTTCGGTTCGATATAGATTTTGATCCTTGGGCTATTACCTACCTTCTGCTAAAATTTCATATGGATACATGCATGACGAAAAAATTGCGAGGTTTTAACTTTTTTCGAGCTTCAATTCCTGAACTATTTTCGCCTCCTTAGACAAACCCGTCTTACGCAAACAACTTTGTTGTGAGACCGATAGTTGAACGATATTTTATACAATGTCTATACCCAGGTATGGATTTATTTTTGTCCAAGTTTTATATTGGTCCACTATTTTAAATGCAGTTCAAACAGACATGTATTAAATTGTATGTTCCGTTTTAATTTGGTTCAATCTGTATAAAAGCGTTACTGATAGAGTAGCTTATATTATAATAGACCTAAATAATAAAACCAAGACCAAGGTTATACAAGTGAATGCTCCCACAACAACCCATCAGGAAGAGGCAGTTGAAACGTTTTACGAAGATTTGGTAACTGCATTAGAAGAAAATGATACAATATATACCATCATTATGGGAAATTTCAACGAAAAAATAGGTAAAAAATAAGAAAATACTGAAACCAAAATAGGGATGCATGGTTATGGCACACGAAATGAAAGAGGAGAAAAATTATATAACTTCTTAGAACAACAAAAATTATATGCCATGAACATACACTTCAAGACACGAAATGGACCAAACCGAAAATGGACGTGGATATCTCCCGA